TTTTATTAAGTGGGAAGATTATTCTTGAGGGACAAAAATGAATGTGTAAAGGCTTGTGAATTGTTACAAAAATTGCTATAATGTTTCTTTCTTTAGAGGAAGATCCCTTTACATGGCCATTGGCCTTTATATTTATACATAGAGTATTGACATTAAAATGAGTAATTAAGTACAATTATTCCTTCTTAAATGTGTCCGTTTTGATTCCTTGACTTTAATGCTCAACGTTTGAATTTGAGTTGACTCTGATCTTCATGGGCCTCGCCTTTTCGGCCCAAGCGTCCTTGAACCGTCTTACCCGTGTCTTCCACATCGAACTCATGTCACAATGCAGTCACTTCGGACTCTCGAAGTGGTGACAACCACTTCGACCGTTCCTCCAGCTCATGGGTCCGATGGGCTTCGCCCTTTATGGGCCCTTATCTTGACTACGTGGCAATCTTTGGTTGGTCTCGTACTTCTGGTGCGGGATCCGACACCAACAAAAACCATACTTTATATAATAAGATAGTCATTACAACAATTTCATTTTATGAGTTTAATAGTTTGGTTTAAATGGGTAAAATTATGGTTAGTGAAGGATTGTTTGTAAAGAATTGTGTGTTAACCATGGTGAAACATAGGGGTGTCAAAATTCAACCCATGAACCCTAATGAGTTGAAAATTTTGACTCAAATGAGTTGATGGATCAAATGAGTTATTGAGTCAAATGGGTTGATAAGTGAAATGGGTTGGGTTGTAATGGGTCAATGGTTTACCCATTTAACCCATCAATTTTTGTTAAATTGAATTAAACCAATCCAAATCTCTAAACCGATTCCAATTTGAATCTAACCAAAACTTCTAAACCGATTGAATAGTTCCTTAATTTTCCCGCCAAAAATGTGAATACACCATTTTCATGCCAAAAATATAAATTCGTGATTTTCCCGCCAAAAACGTAAATTCGTGATTTTCCCGCCAAAAACGTAAATCCGTGTTTTTCCCGCCAAAAACGTAAATCCGTGATTTTCCCGCCAAAAACGTAAATCCGTGATTTTCCCGCCAAAAACGTAAATTCATGATTTTCCCGCCAAAAACGTAAATCCGTGATTTTCCCGCCAAAAACCTAAATCCGTGATTTTCCCGCCAAAAACGTAAATCCATGATTTTCCCGCCAAAAACGTAAATCCGTGATTTTCCCGCCAAAAACATATATCCGTGATTTTCCCGCCAAAAGCGTAAATCCGTGATTTTCCCGCCAAAAACGTAAATTAGTGATTTTCCCGCCAAAAACGTAAATCTGTGATTTTCCCGCCAAAAACGTATATTCGTGATTTTCCCGCCAAAAATTATTAATTTATTTTAATTATTAATTTATTTATTACATTAATAGGTCAACCCATTTAACCATCTAACCTATCAAATTAACTTCAAACTCATTGGGTAATGAGTTGAGTTGGGTTGGGTTAACCATTTTGACACCCCTAGTGAAACACATGGTAATTTTTTAATTGTTGTTATGATTAATTGTTTTTAATAAACACATGATTATTTATTACCAATCAAGATATAAGGGTTTAAGGTGAATTTTAAGCTTACTGACTCATCAACAAAAATTATTTGGAAGGTCTCTCCATGTACTGCGTCGACAAGTGCACAATTTTCACTTGAATTCTCCATTTTCTTTTGAGGGAAACGATTGGTGATGACTAATAAGTGCTCATGCTTTGATTGGTGGCTAACCTGCAAAAAAATGCCAAAGTTTTTATGTTTTCAGGGAGCTTCTCAATGGCATCATTAAGCTGCTGAATTTAAGACTTCAACACACAAATGACAAATCCAACAAGATGTTGACAAAGAACAAAAAACAAATCTTCACATCCAGAAGAAACAAAGATGAAAATTAAAGTATAGATCTTTACTAATCGGAAGTAATCAATAATCAATATCTTTCAAGTTTTCAATCTATACAATAATATATTTCTTCCCTAATCAACCCAACAATATCTTTCTTTCAATTACATTAAATTGGATTGTCTTTTCCAGAAATATCTAACATGATTATCTTGCCAAATTAAATAATTTTACATAACATATATACAACTAGGTGAATGCCCGCGCAAATGCGCGGGAATAATTCTGTGGCAGAGGTAAAATCATGAGAGATTAGGGAATTTTTAGAGTTTAGGGTAAGAAAATACGGTAAATGATGACAAAAAAAAACTGTGATATTATAAATGCTAAGAAAATAAGACACTAATCATTTAAAAAAAAAAAATTGTAAGACAATAAGAAATCAACGAACGTCATCACTCCATGGTATTCTCTTTGCGTGTGACGATATGTACTTGGTCGTTTTCAGGATTCATGACATCCGATTTAGAACACCAGAAACAGTTAACGTTCAGTCGCCAACTTTAGAGTTTTGATTGTGAACGGAAAAAAACCAAAAAATAATTACCAACAAAGCATCTCGTCGGTAATACTGACTATTTATTGTCAAACTCATCAATCTGCAAATGATTTCTACGTTTATCAAGTTCTCTTTCATCGGATTGCAGAAAACCGTCAATTTTGTATCTCTTGTTTTGTTATCATGGTTATAGCCACACTCATCAATGAGAAAATAATTTTTACGTTTATCAAGGGCTCTTTTATTACGTTGCAGAAACACATCAATTTTTTTTTTTTAATCATGGTTATAGCCAAACTCATCAATCAGCAAATGATATTTACGGTTTTTAAGGGCATTTTTATAACGATGCAGAAAACCGTCAATTTTACCCATTTTCCGTTGTAATGGTTATAGCAAAACTCTTCAATTAGAAAATAATTTATACATTTATCAAGAGCTCTTTCATCAGACAGGAGAAAACCGTCAATTTTGATCTCTTTTCTTTTTGTTATCCTGGTTATGGCCAAACTCATCATCAACAAATGATTTCTACGTTTATCAAGAGCTTTTTCATGAGGCTGCATAAAACCATCATTTTTGCTCTTCTTGTTTTTTTCACATGGTTATAAACTCATAAATCAGAAAATAATTTCTACGTTTATCAACAAGTGTTTCATTAGGCTGTAAAAAAATTATTAGTTTCGCTCGTTTTTTTGTTATCATGGTTATAGCCTATCTCATCAAGCAGCAAATGATTTCTACGTTTATCAAGAGCTCTTTCATCATGCTGTAGAAACTTACCAATTTTGCTCATTTTTTTGTTATAATGGTTATAGCAAAACTTTTCAATCAGCAAACGATTTCTACGTTTATCAAGAGCTCTTTCATGAAACTACAGAAAACTGTCAAATCATCTCCTCTTTTTCTGTTATCATGGTTATAGCAAACTCATAATCAGCAAATGATTTCTACGTTTGTCAATAGTTTTTTTCGTGAGCTTGTAGAAAACCGTCAATTTTGCTCCTTTTTCGTTATCATTGTTATAGCCAAGCTCATCAATCATCAAACGATTTCTAGGTTTATAAAGATCTCTTTCATTAGACTGTAGAAAGCCGTCAATTTTGGTTCTCTTGTTTTGTTTTCATGATTATAGCCAAACACATCAATGAGCAAATAATTTCTACGTTTATCAAGTTCTTTTTCATGAGCTTGCAGAAAACCGTCAATTTTGTTCATTATTTTTCGTTATTATAGTTATAGTCAAACTCATCAATCTGCAAATGATTTCTATGTTTATCAAGTTCTCTTTCATCGGATTACAGAAAGCCGTCAATTTTGTATCTCTTGTTTTGTTATCATGGTTATAGCCACCCTCATCAATGAGCAAATAATTTTTACGTTTATCAAGGGCTCTTTCATTACGTTGCAGAAACCCATCAACTTTTTATTTTTTAATCATGGTTATAGCCAAACTCATCAATCAGCAAATGATATTTATGGTTATCAAGGGCATTTTTATAAAGTTGCAGAAAACTGTCAATTTTACCTATTTTCCGTTATAATGGTTATAGCAAAACTTTTCAATTAGCAAATAATTTATACATTTATCAAGAGCTCTTTCATCAAATAGGAAAAAACCCTCAATTTTGCTCTCTTGTTTTTTTGTTATCCAGGTTATAGCCAAACTCACCATCAACAAATGATTTCTACGTTTATCAAGAGCTTTTTCATGAGGCTTCTTAAAACCTTCATTTTTGCTCCTTGTTTTTTTTTTATCATGGTTATAAACTCATAAATCAGAAAATAATTTCTACGTTTATCAAAAGGTGCTTCATTAGGCTGTAAAAAAACCGTTAGTTTCACTCATTTTTTTGTTATCATGGTGATAGCCTATCTCATCAAGCAGCAAATGATTTCTACGTTTATCAAGAGCTCTTTCATCATTCTGTAAAAACTTATCAATTTTGCTCATTTTCCGTTATAATGGTTATAACAAAACTTTTCAATCAGCAAATAATTTCTACGTTTATCAAGAGCTCTTTCATGAGACTACATAAAACCGTCAAATCTTTTCCTCTCTTTTTGTTATCATGGTTATAGCCAAACTCATCATCAGTAAATGATTTCTACGTTTGTCAATAGTTTTTTCCTGAGCCTGCAGAAAACCGTCAATTTTGCTCCTTTTTCTTTATCATTGTTATAGCCAAACTCATCAATCAGCAAACGATTTATAGGTTTATCAAGTAAATATGACATCCAATAAATCATATATACTTTCATGTTTCTGCTCCTTACGAAAAAAGAAAGATACCTTTTACATAACATATATACAATCAGAATTTATTAGTATAGTTTCTTAAGGAAATAGATAAAAATAAAAAATATTTGATTTTAAACTTTCTTTTTTCGTTTCCGGAATTAAATATCTCAAAATCTATCATCAAATTAAATAATTTTACATATACCTATTAACTAATTCAAAGCTCATAGTCAAAGTCAAAAACATATCTTACCATATATCCGAATATTCTATATTTGTGAAAGATTTTGAACTATATATTTAATTTCATAAGCTAAAACGGAAAAGAAAAAAAAAAAACAGCAAAATACATAAAGGATTAAAATGGTTTCATCAAGAAAATGTGTTTTCCTTGTGTTCTTATGTCTGGTTGTTCTCTTGATTCCAAGTATGCAAGTATTATATCTCTATTAATACTTACAGATGAATATACTATATACGTTTTTACTGCTACAATACATTTGTCTAAGGATTAATCTTTATGTTTTTCAATAATAAGCTAACATTTTTACACCGATATAAATTTCAGAATCTACAAAAGCGAAAGATATTGATGGAAGGAAGCCTCTTCTGATAGGTACTTGCGTAGAGTTTCCAGCAGAAAGATGCAATAAGACATGCATTGATTCAAATTTTGCTAGTGGAAAATGCGTTCATGTTGGTCAAAGCCTTGACTTTGTATGTGTTTGTTATCCAAAATATAAAATATAATATATGTTTAAGATATTTTCTTATCTACTAGATGATATATGTTTGCTTCGTAATTCTTAACATGTTTAGTAAAATAGGTTGCAAATTTATATTCTGAATAAAATTATTATTTTCAGATAAATTATCAATGCAAAACTTACATGAACATTTTTTTAATTAAATAAATTGAATTGAATCTATATATACATTTTTGAAGTACAAATATGAAATAAATCATGGAGTTCCACCTTATTTACGAGTCTATGCCATTGCCATTTATTATTTAGTTTTACAAAATTTAAATAACAGATATTAACCAAACGATATCTTGCCTAATTTGTTTCTAAAAATCTCTACACAATCTTTCCACCTTATTTACGAGTCTATGCCATTGCCATTTATTATTTAGTTTTACAAAATTTAAATAACAAATATTAACCAAACGATATCTTGCCTAATTTGTTTCTAAAAATCTCTACACAATCTTTCCATATATCTTCAAAAACACAATTCCATGAATTTTACTCCACAAAATATGCATAAAACCGATTTATAGCAAATATTTATATTAAAATTTTGCATAACAATAAAACTACTAATTTATAATAATCAAAATATTCACATAGAAAAATCATATAATTTATATGATAAATTTAAAATATATATTAGCAGTATAAATTTAAAATCAGTCAAGGAACGGTATACCACGGGTGAGATCTTAAAATTATTGGATTTTATAACAATAATAATTTATTTTATTGGATTTTATAACACTAATAGTTTAGCTAACGGGATAATATAGACGGGTTTATATGGGATGACGGGTTTGGGTCGATATTAATAAAGAACGGTATATCAGGGATGAAATCCTAAAATTAACAATCAAAATACAATTATACAACCTTAAACACAAACCAAAACATACAATATTAACAAAACAAATACAACTTAAAATTTAAAAAGTTTAGTTATAAAAAATCAACCCACGGTATACCACTGAGTAAAATATTCAAAATTTTAAAATTGACCATACATCGTTACTTAAAAAAATGTATGTTTTCGTATCTATACTTCAAAAATTGAAACCTAAACAATAGTAATCATACACTAAATAATACATAGATACATATCTACATTTAAAAATATAAACTAATATAATATATCTTCAGTTAATATTTAAAAAAAATAATATTACATATTTTTTTAAAATATAGCCCCGCGGTGTACCGCGGGTTAAATTCTAGTTGTGTTCATAATTGCTATCGTGATCGTAAGAACACTTTGAATCAAATCTAAACCAATTTAAAATAAATAAAATATAAACCAATTAAAAATAAATAAATAAATATAAACCGTTGAATGTGAAATATCGATTATTTTGTTCCTATAATCAACTTGAATCACATACTTTATGGATGGAGCAAGAAAATTTACAATAAGTTTTGCATATTATTGTTAAGAATATTTTTTCCGTTTAATTTATAATATCTAGAAAACATGCATTTGGATTATGTTGATCATTTAAAAAGTTTTTGAGTGGCCTGAAAAGTGAAGATAATGATATAATTTGAACTTGTCTAAGGAATGGATAATTTCCACGATTATATTCTCATTTTGAACCATTTACGTAACCTCTTCATGCATTTATGAAGTTCAAGGTCTTTGAGTGATAACAAAGTGAAGTCTTTTTTTTTTTTTGAATCAAAAATCTTATCTTTCTTTAACTACATTCGATTAATTGTTAATTTTCTAAAACCTCTCTACCTAATTTAAATATAATTATATGATTCTTCTTTCACCTTTATTTGATCTTATATTTAATTTATTTTGAATTTATATATAATATATATAGTTAAAAAAAAAATTCTGCATATGATGTCATTCAAAATTTTTAAAAGCGGACATATATTACTCAATCGATGAAGAAAAATATGTGTGTACAATGTCCCAATTCCTTAAAAAAATGGGAAATGGTTTAATGTCATACTATAAAAAGGACGAAAATGATTATGAATACTAATGAGCAGGAAGCTTGATTTATCAGGCGTCCAAAATTAAAAGTATTATCCGGTTTACTCTGGTTCTTTATTTTAAGGAATTGAAATTTTTAAAAAGTTAAACTTTATAAAATGTTTTAAATATTTATAATTTTAAAACTTTTATGAGGTATATAATATTTTAAATATTTAAACTTTATAAGAATTTATAAAAAGTTTAAACATTATAAATATTTAAACTTTATAAAACGTTTAAAATATTTATAATATTTAAATTCTATTAAAAGTTTACAATATTTGAACTCTATATAATATATATATAATGAGAACCATTTAAAGAAAACTTTTAAATTGACTCGAATTATATGTTTTTTAAATAAAAAAATATTATTGAAAAGAAAAATAACAAAATGATGTTTAATTTCACGGGACGGCTTATGTGGTGGAACGTATTTGGGTCGATATTAATACGAGACGGTATTCTACGAATGAAATCTTAGAATTAATAATCAAAATACAATTATCTATACTAGTATTTTTGAAGTACATTTTTAGCGGGTGAGTTAAATTGTTTTCGGTTACAAATGGTATCCGACCCGATAAGAAATTTCCTTCATAAACCTTACACCGGATATTTCAGGTTTTCTTTTAGATCGGGTCAAAATATATCCGAAATTATGAACCGGATATTCCATATTTATAATTATAGATATATAAAAGATTTGGTTAATATTTAAAAATATAATTCTCCTATCATCTTTGTTTGAACCTTTCTAAATTGTTTTGAATAATCATATAATACATAAAGTTAAAAACAAATCTCAATTTTTTTTCTGCATATATTGGGATTCCAAATTTTTAAAGCGGATATATACTACCCAATTGATGAAAAAGGTGTGTGTTCAACGTCACATATCGGCTAAAATGTTTAAATATTGATTCAGAATCATATTATAAATAAGATCAAAATGAAACCAAATCCGAATGAACAAGAAGCTCAACTTAACAAGCATCCGAATTCAAAATTATAGACCGTTTCATTCGATTTTTTAGTTTCACTACTTAATTTTACCGAAAATATTTGATTTTAAACTTTTAAATTTTTTTAAAGAATATAATTCATATATTTAAAATCAATAAAAAGTTTATAATATTATGAACATTTGAACATATACAAAGAGTTACAATAACACGAGACATGTTATTTGCTAGACGGGGTTATATAACGGGACAAATTTTTAAGAAGTTTTAAATATCATAATTCTTATATTTAAAATTAATAAAAAAATTGATAATATTAAGAACATTTGAACATATATAAAGAGTTAAAATAACATGGGATGGTTATATTGCAAGACGGAGTTATATGACAGGACGAGTTTGAATAAAAAAAAATTAATACATCATTAACCCGCTGCTTCAATACGGGTTAAATCTTCATTTTATTATTTTTAACACCAATATTAAACATATCGAATGATTCTAATTAAAGTAAAATTGTATAAAACAAAAATTGTATTGTGGTATACTGTTACTTAATAACAATTGTAAATTATAAAATATAAATGTCTTATAAAATGATACAGTTTGCAAATTTTTATATATAATATATTACTCTTAGATTTCAAATATTACTAATTTTAAAAACAAATCGTGTTAAAATCTAGTACTATCTTAAACACTAAACAAAATAAATACAACTTAAAATTTCAATGTTTTAGTTATATTAAAAATTTTAGTTATAAAATAATGGATCCGTGGTGTACCGTGGAGTAGAATATAGTGAGGTTGGAGCAAGGAGAAGAGTCGAAGAAATTTGCGTTTGGAGTCGAGGAGGATTCTAATATATCATTTGACTAATCATGGACACTGATCAACAAGTGCAATAGTGACGCGGTTCCAGCTGTCTCAATAGGGCCGATCAAGCAAAACATCTTGATCCACAAAAAAAGACTACTTTTGGTGCTTTTGTGATCGGTGTGTGGCCAATCAGGACGACCGATCAAGAAAACATTTATTTTGTAATTTTTGGATGTGACCCGGTTTGTCCCAGGTCAATTCGGTTGGTTCCTGGTCAAATTTGTTAGTTTCTCAACTATTTAATTTTTCTAGACATGTTTTCACTCTTTCTTTATTTCTCATTTCTAACATGATTAATTTATAAAAGGGTTCATACTTGCTATTTGTTTTCTAATGGCGATTAGTGAGTAGTCTTCTTTTCGATCATGGACTTACTATATTAGGATGATTAGTGATTGGTTCATGATGTTAGTAAATCGATCTCCATCTGCAAAGAAATAAAACTGAGGATCACAACATAAGGATTCACAGCCAGCCAATATGCAAACGTGCAGCCTTTCACTTCATGGGTTTATTTGATTTCTATACCGTTTGGTCCCTGCATTTGTCAGTGCAAACCAAATACCGGTCTATGGCAACCGACCACGCGTAAAATTAAATGTTGTAAGGCCCTATATTGTGTCTCGTCTACAACGATCCCATGCATATGTTTTGAGATAGTTAATCAACTCTCCACATTGCTGTTAATCCCGTATTTCGTAAACGTACAAAACTTATCAAAGTTGATTGTCATTTGGTTGTGATGCAGTTTAAGACAAACTCATCGCACCAACTCCAAGATCTTAACTAAAGAAATACCCGCATTTGACTCTTTTTTTTTTTTTTTTTTGCATTTTAGATATGTGAAAACTGAAAAGTTGATTTTTATTATATAGAACAGAAATTTTTAAAAACAATACGATTTTCGTACTCTAAGTTACATTGAAGGCTGATTCGTGGTGATTTGATTTGTTTTTTTTTTTTTTTTTTTTCTGAAATAAAAATGTCATGTGCTCTTCTCCTTCGTTGAAGTGGTTTAGGTTAATCTTGGGACGTTTTTAAGTCTAATACACTACAACTATGAGGTGAGTGCTTCGTTCCTTCTTTTCCTATAAATTAATTTTCTAGGAATTTGGATTAATCAAGGGATTAAAAATAAAAGCCATAAGTTACGATCTAGGGTTCCAAATTCAAAGAACCAGATGAGTTGGGAAAAATATAGATGATTTGCATCTGATATATTTTAAATCGTATCTTTATATGTTAATTCATGGATTGGAAAATCACAATAACATGCATTTTGTTGACTCTCTGAATTGTTTCTATCTATTTAAATTGTAAAGCCAACAAAGGTTACATCAGAAGCCTCCCTCCTCGATGAGTTCATCAGACATCTCGAAACAAATGGAATCAACAATGTCGATGACTGACCGTGTTCATGTTGTCCGTCACAACAATAGATTACCACAGTCTAGATATTCTCCTTACGGGTTAGTGATCTTTCATTATTCTATTTGGGAGTTTGTTTATTTTTGATAAATTGATGAGAGTATAGACACAAAAGTGTAAATATTCTTAAACTAAGATATGATGACCTTATGGATATTCATGATTTCCGTATTCTTGGACAATCATCTCGACCGTCGATCTTGGTAGATCTCTGATTCTTCTATATTATTTTTCTTAGCAAGACTGATCTCAACAACGAGAAGGAGAAGCAGAAAGAAGAGGCTATACGACTCGGAGTTGAGCTCTCGCTCTTTGTGGCAGAAGCAATGTTCCTATTATCTGATGACCTACGTTCTATGTTACTCTTCTGTTTTTGCCTATTGACGTTTGCAGGGAAAAAAGACTATGACGGCCCCGTGGTAGGAAGACTGGTTCGTGTTATTCAATATGTGTTCGTTGTTGGTGTCGGATCCCGCAATTAGGATCCGGCCCGGAAAGGTAGTGGATCAATAAGACGAAGTGGGCCGTCGGCCCAGGTCCAGGGGACGAAAAGAGTGACCCAATAAGTTCTAGCCCAGTTCGAGTAAAACGTCGGGATCTCACGAATTAAATGAAAGGCGGGTTGCACGGGATCTGGTAGATCGGGAAGATTCGAAATGGAGGCAATAATGAAGGCGAGATCTGCGGCTTGATGAGCGACTTCGGTTTCGAATCATGTAATTATAAATAGAAAACGAAAACCATTGTATGAGGGGGACCGAAATCTAGAGCAATAAACAGATACATATACTTCACTCTTTTGTTTTCTTTTTCTCGATTGTTATTCGAATTAGCAAGGCTAGGCGACCCGATACACATCTTAAAATTTGTATTGCGGATTCCGACATCCACAATTTGGCGCTAGAAGGAGGGGATTTCTAGTCTTTTACTCTAGAATATCAATCGAAAAGATGTCAGACGCGGCGGATCCGGCTTCAGTCCTCGACGAGATCAAGAAGTTGCTGAAAGATCTGTCCGAGAAGACCGACCAGCAGCAGCTCGCCACCACTGCGTTGTCTGAGAAGCTTTCAGCGTTTGAAGAGCAAAGCGGCAGCCAAATCGCAGTCCTCACATCAAGTTGTTCTGAAATCAGGTCAGCCCATAATGCTTATGCGGATCGGGTTGATACAATTCTTGCAGGAACTTTGCGGACCAGCGGACCTCGCGGCCATTTGGATTTTCATGGTCCAAACGTTTCGGAGGTTCAGGATCCTAGGCTCGTTTCCCCGAGCAACGTGCTCCCATCTTCTTTGCCTCTTGGCTCTCAGAGTGAGCCTGGAGATGGGTCCCGTCATACTCAAGCACCTCAAAACTCAGCCAGCGGTCCCTTTGTTCCAGCCAGAACACCTCTCCCCATCCATCTTGGTAGCACCCCGCATCATCCTCAAACCGAGTCCCATCCACCTCGCATTCCAGTCAACCCGGAAATCCAGAACTTGCAAAATCAGATTCGGGAAATGAGTTCGAAGGTTCATCATGCCACCAGTTCGGCTCCCGAAGGCGATAGAGTGATCGAGGAGACGAGAAGGACTCCTTTTACTCCACGAATTGTAGCCCTGCGAATTCAAGACCAAAGGAAGGTCAAACTTCCGGGGTACGATGGTAAGGGAGATCCCAAAGAATTTTTAGCGTCTTTTCAGGTCACCGTAGGTCGGGTACATTTGGAGCCAAACGAAGTAGACGCGGGCTTATGCAAGCTCTTCGCCGAGAACCTATCCGGGCCGGCTCTGACCTGGTTTACTCAACTAGAAGAAGGATCGATCAATAGCTTCAAGCAACTTTCCATTGCTTTCATCATGTAGTACGGATACTTCATCAAGAGCGATGTAACTGATGTCCAGCTATGGAACCTCTCACAAGGAGCCGGAGAGCCGCTCCGGACTTACATTACTTCCTTTAAAGAGATTATGGTCCAGATACCAAATCTGTCTGATTCCGCAGCTATTGTTGCACTCAAGAATGGTCTTTGGCACGAATCCCGCTTCCGAGAAGAGTTGGTTGTTAACCGACCATCCACTATTCAGGACGCCCTCCATCAGGCAACGAACTGGATAAACGCGGAGGAAGAGCGGGCTGCTCTAGCAAAAAAGTTCAAAGCAGCTCCGAAACCTGCTCAGCTTCCTCCGCAGAAGAAACCTGTTCAAACCGAAACTCGAACACCCGGAGCTGGGACATTTTCAGTGGATCGGGAGGAGCCAAAAGGTTCTCCGAAGAATTTACCAGCGAAGCAATCCTTCTCGCCAAAGAACAAAAACGGCGCTTTCCCGAGTAACAAGTGGATTCGTGATCCAAACGCCTACTGCGAGATCCACAAAGTTAATGGGCATGCTACGAAAGATTGCAAGGCTCTAGGAAGGTTACTGGCTGCCAAGTTCGCATCCGGCGAAATAACCGAAATCGACGTTTCAGAGCTCGAGCCAACTCATCCGTCGGAGCAAACAGTAGAACCAGAGGAACCGTCTCCTCCTAGCAAAAAAACCAAAAGGATCCAGTCCCCTGATGTTCCTAAAGGACCGAAGAAACGAATCCAGGTGATTATGGGGGGATCCAAGCTCTTTCGGGACTCCATTAGTGCAATCAAGCAACATGAACGGAGGGCGACCCCCCCGATAATCAAGAAGGCCAGACTTACTGAGGAACAATTACCCGAAGTAACATTCTCCGAAAGCGAAACAAGTCAACTTGACAAACCACACGATGATGCTCTGGTCATAACACTCGATATTGCGCATTGCGAAGTATCTCGGGTTCTCATTGATACTGGGAGTTCGGTGGATTTAATCTTCCTCGATACTCTGACAAGAATGGGGATATCGAAGCAAGATATAAAGGGGCCACCATCTCCTTTGGTTTCCATTACTAGCGAAACTTCAATGTCACTAGGAACGATTGTGCTCCCGGTATCCGCAGAAGGCATAGTCAAAATGGTCGAGTTTACTGTGTTCGACCGTCCGGCTGCTTATAATGTTATCTTTGGAACACCCTGGATTTATGAAATGAAAGCAGTACCTTCAATGTATCATCAATGCTTGAAATTCCCTACGAAATCCGGAGTAAAGCAAATCCTGGGAAGTCAGCGAGCTACGAGGATGTGTTACATGTCCAGTCATAAGCTTAAAATTCAATAGCAACCACAGCTCAAGGTGCCTGCAAATCCCGTCAAAAAGATAAGCAGTGACCTCGTGGAGGCAGTGGTAGTTAATGAGGAGTATCCGGATCAAACTGTGAACATAGGATCGGGATTAAGCAAAACATTCCGAGTCGAACTGATAACTTTCCTAAAAAGGAATCAAAAAACTTTTGCCTGGAAAATCGAGGAGATGACTGGGATCGATACAAAAGTGATTTCACACGAGCTCAACATTGACCCGACTTTCAAACCAGTAAAACAAAAGCACAGGAAACTTGGTCCAGACCGAGCCGAGGCTGTAAATACCGAAGTTCAGCGTCTGCTCGATGCGGGTTTAATTCGTGAGGTCAAATATCCGGACTGGTTGGCAAACCCTGTCGTAGTCAAGAAGAAAAATGGGAAATGGCGGGTTTGCGTAGATTTCACCGATCTTAATAAAGCCTGTCCCAAAGATAGTTTCCCACTTCCGCACATCGATCGACTTGTGGAGTCAACTACGGGCCACGAAATGATGTCCTTTATGGATGCTTTTTCTGGGTATAATCAGATTTTGATGAATCCAGAAGATCAAGAAAAAACAGCTTTTATTACGGACCGTGGAACTTACTGTTATATAGTCATGCCTTTCGGATTGAAAAATGCCGGAGCAACTTATCAACGGTTGGTAAATATGATGTTCAAAGATCTTCTTGGTAAAACGATGGAAGTTTACATTGACGATATATTAGTAAAATCAACGATAAGCACGTTGCATATCGAGCATTTGGAGCAGTGTTTCGCAATTTTGAACCAGTTCGGAATGAAGCTAAACCCATCGAAGTGTACTTTTGCGGTTCCGTCTGGAGAATTTTTGGGTTATATTGTTACGGAGCGAGGAATTGAAGCTAATCCACGACAGTTGAACGCATTTCTGACGATGTCTTTGCCTCGTAACATCCGAAAAGTCCAGCGACTTACGGGGCGGGTTGCAGCTTTAAACAGATTCATCTCGAAGTCGACGGATAGATGTCTTCCATTCTATAATCTACTCCGGAAGGCGAACAAAAATTTTACTTGGGATGAGAACTGTGAAAAGGCGTTCAGCGAACTAAAAGATTATTTGTCAAAGCCCCCTGTTTTAGCGAAACCTGAATTCGGAGAAGAACTTTTCTTGTACGTGTCAGTATCTGATAGCGCAGTAAGCGGAGTATTGGTACGAATGGATCGGAGCGATGATACAGTCCTGTTCTCTAAATTGGCTTTGGCAGTCATCACTTCAGCTCGGAAACTAAGGCCATATTTTCAGTCTCATACGATTATCATTCTAACTACGCAACCTTTGCGAACGATTTTGCATAGTCCGAGCCAGTCGGGGAGATTGGCTAAGTGGGCAATTGAGCTAAGTGAATACGATATTCAGTTCCGAGCTAGAACAAGCTTGAAATCCCAGGTTCTTGCTGATTTTCTGATCGAGTTACCTTTGGTCTCTACGGAAGTCAAGGAAAATGAGGGACCTTGGATACTTCATGTGGACGGAGCTTCCTCAAAACAGGGTTCGGGAATTGGCGTCCGGCTACAATCCCCATATGGAGAGCTCATCGAACAGTCGTTTTGTCTCGCTTTCAATGCTCGAATAACGAAGCGGAGTACGAATCGCTCCTTGCAGGGCTTCGTCTCGCGGCGGGGATAGGCATCGCAAAATTACAAGCATTCTGCGACTCGCAACTCGTTGCCAATCAATTTTCTGGCGATTATGAAGCAAAAGATGGCATAATGGAAGCTTACCTCGCTCAGGTTCAGGAATTGAGTAAAAAGTTTCTTAGTTTCGAACTCACTAGAATTCCGCGAAGTGAAAACTCAGCGGCGGATGCTTTAGCGGCATTAGTGTCGAGTTCCGAAGTAACAGTGAGCCGAATGATCCCTGTCGAAGTAATTGAACATCCGAGCATATCAACCGGAGAGCTGAATTTTGTGACCACACAGTCTATGCATCGTAGGATGAGTGTGGAGCAAGAACCACAAAGGGTCGAGGAAGCTGAGCAGAACTCCGAAGTAGGTTCACCTCTCGGAACACCGCCAAATCCGGAACCACTGCAACCAATGCTACCGATTCCGGATTGGGGGGCAGACTGGCGGATACCCATCAGAGATTACATCCTTAATGGTATTCTTCCTGAGGATAAATGGGAAGCGCAAAGACTAAAGGCTAAAAGCGCTCGATTTAGCATTTCGAATGATATCCTCTACAGAAGAAGCATCTCGGGTCCCGACATGATCTGTATTTTTGGCCAACAAGTTCATACTGTAATAAAAGAAATTCATGAAGGGGTTTGCGGCAATCACTCCGGAGGTCGCTCTTTGGCCTTTAAGGTAAAAAGATATGGATATTTCTGGCCCACTTTAATTGCGGATTACGAGGAATACGCTCGAAAGTGCGAACAATGCCAGAAGCATGCACCTTCGATTCACCAGCCTACGGAGCTCTTGTCATCAGTCTCTTCGCCTTATCCGTTTATGAAATGG